GGCGGGGCTGGCTGGCATGTGGTGCTGGGGGATTGAACCGCGGTCCCTGTGCTTTGCTAAGCTTGTTCTAAGTAGGTGCTTTAGACCACTGAGCCATCCCACCAGCCCCCATAAATCTTAGTTTTCTAAGAATCAACGAGGTAGGGTTATGCTGGCAGTGAGCATAACTACTCTGCAAATGATGTGAGTTTGTTTTATTTTGTCGTACTACTAAGGATTGAATCCAAGGCTTGGGCATTAAGCTTCATCCCCGGCCAGTTTTTAAACTTTGAGACTGGGTCTCAAATTTGCCCATGGGGGGGCTTGAACTTGTTAGATTCTTCCTGAGGGCTGAAATTATAGGCATGTGCCACCACACCTGGGAACTTCTTGTTTTGAAGACAAAACAAAGTAAAATTTTAGTTAGGTTCACATAGGAAGGGTAAAAGCACCTTAACTTTGATTTTTCATTTTGTTCAGAACAACCTGTTTGAACTCAGGTGGCCACTAAGAATACCAGTGGGTGTGTTGTAGCTTCCAGATTTTCACAGATTACCTTTATAAATGAGGTTAACTTTATTACAACATATTTATTCAAGGTAAATATGAGAATAGTTTTGTTTTTGTTTTTTTTTTTTTGCTCTGAATGCCCTCAGGGGTGGTTTGGCTGGCTGGAGTGTTGTGGGGATCGAACTACAGCAACCTGAGACTGACAGCTTTGTGGAAGCAGCCACTTAAACAACTGAGCTAAGGCCAGGCCCCCCGAGAATAGTTTTTATATTTGTAGCTGAACATTAAATAGTTTTAAATGGAACTGGGAAGGGGTCAGGATGGCACGGAATTTACTATTTCAGTAGCAAATGCTATCCACGCATGGTGGTGCCCACCTATAATCCTAGCATTCAGGAGGCAGACACAGGAGGATTGCTTCAAACTTGAGGCCAACCTGGGCTACATAGTGCAAGCACAAGGGCCTGAGTTCAATTCCTGGTTCCGCCAAAATGAACAAATAAATAATAAATAATGAATCGTAATGTTGGGAATAATAAGGAGAAGCCAATAGGTTTAGCATGTTAACATGTAACATGATAACAGCAACAACAGACACTGAGTAATTTAAATAACAACACTGATGCCTTATTTACTGGTATTCTCAATAGTTTAGTCATTTTGTACTTTCATGAGAAATAGAGAAACAAAAGTCAACAGAGATAGGCACTTCACACTGAAATATACCAAAGATGCTAAAAGTGAAAAAAAAAAGCTTAATTTTTAATGACTAGACATCTATCTTAGACTTTTACTGTGTACATGGATGCCTTTTTCCCTCTTCTTGTCAAGAAGTTTATACTAAAGATACCTTCAAACTTTTAGGTTGTTGACGAACTTCCATGACATGCTTTCGCCTTAGTTCTCGTTCCCTTCGCTTGTTATATTCCAGCTGGTTAGTGAGCTCAGTTTGGTGCTGTAATCTGATCAACTCACAGCGCATCTTCTGAATTGTGTTGAGGTGACGGAATTCCAATTCTTGCATGGATTCATGCTGTCTTAGTAGCATGGCATGCTCCAAATCCTTCTGAGTCTGCCTTTTGTTCAATTCCTAATCCATAACATAGAAAATAAAAGTAGAATTTACTTTTTTTGTTTTTTTAAATACTATGTAGTTCAAACCACCCTTGAACTCACTATGTAGCTCAAGCTGGCCTTGAACCATGGTGATCCTCCTCCTGCCTCCGCCTCCCCAAGTGCTGGGATTACATGTATATGCCACCATGCCTAGTAATTTACTTTTGTATAATGCCAGGAAAAAAATCCAAAGAAAAAGAACCACCAGGAAAGGAATATAATTAACCCTCTGCTTCAGTAATGGCTTCATAATACATTCTACAATTCTATAACCTTTTTCCTCTGCCCAGCACTAGGGATTGAACCCAAAGCCTTGTGCAAACTAAATATCTACTCTTTCACTGATCTATACTTCCCACCCTACTTCACAGATTTTACATGAGGAAAAAACAAGTTTCTGAATAAAAACATCCTGACAATAGCTAGCATAGGTTGTTGAATCAATGTTCTTTCTTTTTTTTTTCCCCTGTGTTTTAGGGAAGGGTCTACAGGGTGTTCAGGGTCTCACTACTAGATCAGACTCGGAGTGATTCTCCTGTTTACAGCCTCCCTAGAGCTGGGATTACAGGCATGTGCCAGCTCAGTGCACCCCAGGGGCGGGGCTGGCATGGTAGGCCTGAGGATTGAACTCCTGGCCCCTGCTTGCAGATGCTTTAATCCACTGAGCTATTTGGCCGGCCCTTCAATGTCCTTTCTTTATAATTTTTTTTCTCAAATCAAAAAAATTTCATATATATTTTATGTCAAAATCAAACTTGACCCTTTTGCCCCAACAAACCTTATCCCCAGGGTCCAACAGTATGATGCATATGCTTCTCATTTTTGCATTGTTTGTTGTGATACAGCCATTATAATATATA